CCGAGGATGGGATCCCAAACCTGAGCCTGGGACCTCAAAACCCCAGGCTGGAACCCCAAAGCCAAGCCTGGGACCTCAAATCGGAGCCTGGGACCCCAAATCCAAGCCTGGGACCCCAAAGCTGAGCCTGGGATCCCAAATCCAAGCCTGGGACCTCAAATCCGAGCCTGGGACCCCAAAGCCGAGCCTGGGACCCCAAATCCAAGCCTGGGACCCCAAGGCCGAGCCTGGGATCCCAAATCCAAGCCTGGGACCTCAAATTCCATCCTAGGACCCCAAACCCCGCCCAGGTTTACCTGCAGCTCGTTCTGGGGGTCCCAAACCCCAATTCACCTCCCCCAAACAGGTGCTGCCTTTACCTGCAGGTCGTTCTGGGGGTCCCAAACCCCAAACCCCCTCCCCCAGCCAGGTGATCTCTTTACCTGCAGGTCCTTCTGGGGGTCCCACCCCCAATCCCTCCCCCAGCCAGGTGATATCTTTACCTGCAGGTCATTCTGGGGGTCCCAAACCCCAATTCACCTCCCCCAAACAGGTGCTGCCTTTACCTGCAGGCCATTCTGGGGGTCCCACCCCCAAACCCCCTCCCCCAGCCAGGTGATATCTTTACCTGCAGGTCGTTCTGGGGGTCCCACCCCCAATCCCTCCCCCAGCCAGGTGATGTCTTTACCTGCAGGTCGTTCTGGGGGTTCCAGTCCGAGTCGAAGATGATGCAGGTGTCGGCCGCTGTCAGGTTGATGCCGAGGCCGCCGGCGCGGGTGCAGAGCAGGAACACGAAGCGATCCGAGTCGGGCCGGCTGAAACGATCGATGGCGGCCTGGCGCAGGTTCCCCCGGACACGGCCATCGATCCGCTCATAGGGGTACCTTAAACCCGGAGATAGAACCGGGATTAACCCCAAAATCCATGGTTTAACCCCTAAAACCCGGGATTAAGCCCCAAACCCCCGGGCAGATCAACGGGAGCCTGGCGCAGGTTCCCCCGGACACGGCCGTCGATCCGCTCATAGGGGTACCTTAAACCCGGAGATAGAACCGGGATTAACCCCAAAAACCCGGGATTAACCCCAAAAACCCGGGATTAACCCCCCAAAAACCCGGGTTTAACCCCAAAATCCCCGGCTGAAACGATCGATGGCGGCCTGGTTCCCCTGGACACGGTACCTTAAACCCGGAGATAGAACCGGGATTAACCCCAAAAACCCGGGCTGTAAACCCTAAAAACCCGGGTTTAACCCTAAAATCCATGGTTTAACCCCTAAAACCCGGGTTTAACCCCCAAAATCCCCGTTTTTTCCCCCCGGAATCCCCGTTTCTGGATCAGGTAATCCTCCAGGATGCCCAGGTTTTTTATCCCGTTTTTACCTTGTCTTTACCTCATTTTTTCCCCAAATTTCCTCATTTTTTTCTCATTTTTCACCATTTTTCCACCGTTTCTCCCCATTTTTTC